TCTAGGCTTTGTGTAATATAGTTAATTGTTGGTTCTTCCATATTTGATACTAGGGATTCAAGGAAAATTACTTTCGAGATCGGATTTGATGTTAGATCTTCTTTCTTCTTTCTGGTACTTTGGCTTAGTAAATCAGCTTCCTGCTCACTCATCTCTTGATCATTGTTATCCATTGTTGATTCTTCAAAATGTTAAAACTAAGATGTTTGGCTATTGTTTGTTCCAGCAATGTATCTGTACGGAGAGCATAATTGTTGTTATAAATACAACTAGAGTATAACTGCTTTACACTAGTCATGAAAAACCAATTATGCTATATCAAGTTACTTAAAAAACTAATCAGTTATGAACTTCCCTCCAAAAGTCTTTGTATTGATGGTTGTGCACCACAATGCCCAGCTACAGAAGGTTGCAAAAATCATGGCTGCACAAATTCTCTCATAGTACTTCTTCCTTTCTGTCCATAAATCTCCAATATCAGTAGCCTGTTTTGAACGTTGTTGCGAATACTCCTGCATTTATTGAATAAAGTTCATGTTTTCTACCAAAACAAACCCTTTCAATTATAGTTATGCTTCTTCTATTTTTTTACTTTTTCCGGTAGAGTAGAGTGTATTATTTGGCTAATTAGTTATTTAATGACCATATATGTATCCCATGTTACTAGGCCTATTGAAGCTGCAAATGGAGGGCCAATGCACGTTGAGGATGAACCTAATCTTGAGCTTTCTCTGGCATTAAGAAATGGACCAGCACTTCCACCATTAAGAAATGAACCAGTGCCGCGACAAAATGAGCAGGCTGCAGCTGGTATTAATCTTGAGCTTTCTCTGGCAACAAGATATGTACCAGCACCACGACCAATTATTGATCAGGCTGCAGGTTCTAATATTGAGCTTTCTCTGGCAATTAGTAACTCAACTTATGGGGAGCAGTCTTCTTCGTCCCAAATCTGGCTGGAAGACGTGATGAACGCGGATGATCCTAATGAAGAACATGATGATGAAATCTTTCGCCCCAATATGATTCGGTTCCTGTAGGAAATGGAGGAAAATATCAACTACTCAAGATGCTCTTTCATACCTGAGTAGTCCAATATTTTCAAAAAAACAAAGAAGAAGAAACTGCTCTTCCTGTGAAATCCAAAATAAGTACCATGGTCATGTGGTATTGATCAAGACTTGTTGCAAACTATTTTTTATTTTAGGGTTTGTGTTTTGACATTATTGCTAAACTCTTGTTATGACCTTTGATTAAACCATTTATGGGTTTATTAGAACATCCAAATTAAATTGCTTTGTTTATCGATCTGCTAGTTTTTTAAATTTTTTTTTATTATTATTAATATAATCAAACCACCCAAGGTATCTTCTTAGGTGGTACGGGGGGTTTGACATGACCCCTCCCATATGTGGATTATGTCACGATCCGAGCCTACACCCTGGACGTGGTCGGCATTCAAGAATCATTGTTGGTCCCCCAAGCGAACCCTCATCCTGACCGACTACAAGCAGAAAACTAACTCAAGCATCACTACAACACAAACGAAATTTAAGCTATGAATATAAAATTCGTAGCAGTTACCTCATAATAGCCACAAAAATTTGACTTTCGTAGTTATCTACTAATTCGTAAATTTTCTTAGCCACGAACATCTAATTGACAAAGCCAATTCTTCATTTTTTGCTACGACTATTAATACTTAAGGCAATAATTGGCTAAATAGCTACAACTTTGTTGTTACAATAAAACTTTGTAGTTGATCATAAGTTTTTGTCACGACATAAAAGTTATTGTAGCAATATTAACTTTTAAGCCACAATAAACTATTTGAAACAAAATATTGTAGCTAAATAAATATTTTTGCTTCAAATTATAAAAAACTTGTGACAATAGTTAAGTGATATAACCAAGTCTTTTCTGCTATAATAAAACTTCGAAGCGAATGGTAGCTTTTTGCTATGAGTTGAAACTTATTGTAGTAATAGTAGCACTTTAGCCACAATAAATTATTTGAAACAAAATATTGTAGCTAAATAAACATTTTTGCTTCAAAATATAAAAACTTGTGGCAATAGCTAAATGATATATAGCCACGCCTTTTCTGCTATAATAAAAGTTCGTAGCCAATTAGTAGTTTTTTGCTACGAGTTGAAACTTATTGTGGTAATAGTAGCACTTTAGCCACAATAAATTATTTGAAACAAAATATTCTAATTAAATAAATCATTTTGCCTCGAGTTACAAAAAAAGAATGTGGCAATAGTTAAATGATATAGTCATAGACTTTTTGCTACAGTAAAATTTCGTAGTTATATATTAATTTTTGCCACGTATTGAAACATGCTATATCGATAGAAATCTTTTAGCCATAAAAGAGTTATTTAAAATAAAATATTATAATTAAATAAATAATTTTGCCCGAGTACTAAAAAGTTGTGGTAATAAACTCTATAGCTATAATTATTTGTCATAACAAAATAATATAACCACAAAATTAATATTTTGATAAATTTCATAGTTTATAATTATTTTTTACCGCGAGTTGAAATGTGGTTATAGCAATACTAATCTAGTGTAATTAGGTGTGTTAATTGTTTGATCCAATTCAATTTTAAAACCCTACTTATATTCAAATATAATTTCAATAAATAAGTGACTGTATCTTGTTAATTTGGATTAACTAATTATATCGAATTTAAACATAATTTCAAGTCTCATTGAAACTTCATCTAGATCAAGTGCTTTTACAATTGTTGTTTGATCTAAACTTGTTTCATCAAAATAATATTTTTATCAATATAATATAACTAGAAGTATTAATTGTTCGATTCAATTCAATTTTATCGCTTGCAAATCTTAAATATAACTTAAACTAATAAATAAGTGATTATATTTACTTCAATTAACTAATTTTATCAACGGAAAAGGGTCAAATTTCCTCTGAACTATGAGATATAGACCACTTATACCCTCCGTTACATTTTAGGATAAAAAATGCCCCTGCCGTTATCTTAAGAGACCATAATTACCCTTAAGACTTAACAAAAGTGATTTGGCAAGCCACATGACACTAATTCTGCCACATAGGCTTGCCAACTAGGATACCCACTATAATTTTTTACCCAATTAATAATTCAACCCTAACCCATTTTTGCTAGACCCAGCCCACTAAAATTAGGAGGGAAACATCATCTTTTTCACCTCAATCGTTTTTCACTATTCAATTAACCACATAGAGGAGAATTTTTTGAAGAACATATTTCACTTGAAGAATCTTTTCTTCTGGAATCTCGATCTAGAAGGTAAATTCTCTTTTATTTTAATATGTAACTGATTTTTGTTTACTTTCAGTAGGATTTTAAACATTTTTCATAGTTGTATTTTGAAGTTAGGATTTGTATGCAAAATTGGTTTGTGAATATTTTAGTATATATTGATGTATATTCTGATGATTCTTCATAATTGAGATAAAATACTACTTTTCCTTCAATTTTACATGTGTTGGGATTTCATATGTCGGGAGGAGTTAAAGTCTTGTATGTCTTTTATCTTGTTTTGAGGTCCCTTCTTGCTATTTTTATGTTGGTATTGACACATTTTTAGGCTACTTTCAAATAATTTAAGATTTTTATTCTCGAATCTGAATGTGTGGTCCCAATCTAAGCATTAATCAATCCCTCTTTTTGGTGTTTTTTTACTGCTAAGTCACTTGCTTTGTTTTTATATGTTATAAAAATCGCTTTCTTCTTGTTAGAAGCTTTTTTCTTATTTATATGTGCGTTGTTTATTAATGTGGGATCATATATATTTATGTTTTGCTATTTATTTTTTTGCAGAAAATTCAATATGGAAGATATGAATGTTGATCTTTTATTTCACCACGGAGGTAAATGGACTTTAAAACCTCACCTACTATATGATGAGAGGTATGTTCATTCTTTGAGGGCCTTTAATTCCAATCACCTAAATTTGATTGACATAAAAGAGGTGTTCGAAAATAACTTGGGTTTTGTATTAGTTAAACAAGTACTTGTGAAAGGACCTTCTGGAAATTTGTTCTTGGTTCAAGATTCTGATGGAATTAAGATACTTCAAGAGTTACTAACTGAAGCGTTTGGGGTAGTTCATGTATTTGTTGTTGATGATTATGAAGAAATTGTTTTTGCCCCTAACATTATCAATCATAGTGAAATCTATCATGTTCAATGTGAGTATGGACTGACGCCGAGTTAGAAAGTGATGATGGTTTGGTTGATCCTACTTCAGATGGTGAGTATGACTTTGATGAGTTAGAGCTCATTAAGATGAAAAAAAACAAGGAAGTCAATGCTAATCTAAGTCATTACAAAGACCTGTTTCTTAATATGACCTTTAAGAACTTAGATGATGCTAGGAAAACTTGTAATCTATATGCCCTGGCAACTAAAAAACCTTTGAAAGTTGCAAAAAGTGACCGAAAAAGATTAAGATACAGATGCATAGAGGGCTGTCCATTTGCAATTCTTGTTTCACTTGATGGTAAAGGTCCAGGACATAAACTTAAGACTTTTAAGCAAGAACACAACTGTGAAGAGGCATTACACAATCCTAGAGCTACCACAAACACTTTATCCCATTATTTCAAAAGCAAAGTTCAGAATAATCCCAAGTACGCGTTGAAGGGTATGAAACAGGACATGATGGATAATTTCAACTTAAATAATAATGATTCAAAGTTGAAAAGGGCCAAGAGAATGGCCCTTCAAAAAATGCAAGGCAGTTTTTTGGATGAGTACAACAGATTGGAGGCGTATGAAAATGAGATTAGAATGACTAATCCCTGTAGTGATGTGGTGATCAACTTATCGAAAGATGCAATGGAACAAGGAAAAGAAAATTTCTCAGAATGTACATATGCTTTAATGCAATGAGGTTGGATGGAAAGAAGGATTAAGACCATTCATAGGACTTGATGGGACCTTTTAAAGGGCCAATGCAAGGGGCAATTACTGGTGGCTATGGCACAAGACTGCGATAACTCTTTCTATCCATTGGCGTGGACTATAGTTGATAAGGAGACCACTAGTACATGGACATGGTTCTTAGAGTTGTTGGAGAAGTCATTGAATTTGAAGAATGGTGATAGCATCACATTTATGTCTGACATGCAGAAGGTAAGTAGTAATTTGTGTTTATGCAACCTAATAATATACAGTTTTTTATAAGTACTAATTGGTTTGACATGTATAGGGATTACTGAATGCAGTGGAAAATGTCTTTCCATTATCAAACCATAGGTACTATTAAGATGTTTTTAAGTGCTATCTTGGTTTTTCTAACTAACATGAACTTATAATTATTTATAGATATTGTGTAAGACATGTTGAGGCAAATTGGATGAAGAGATTTAGGACCGGAGAGATGAAGAAACTTATGTGGTGGGTTGCTTGATGTACTTATGAAGAAGATTTTAAGGACCAATTAAATGCTCTTGGTGCATTATCAGAGGAAGCTGCTAAAGATTTGGTCAAGTTTCCACCACAAAAATGGTGCAGAACATATTTTGATACCGTGTGCAAAAATCAGATGGTAGATAATAATTTCACTGAATCCTTCAACTCTAGGATCTTGGTACCTAGAGGCAAGCCTTTCTTGAAGATGCTTGAAGAGATTAGCGTCAAAATAATGAACAGGTTGAGAAAGAAGGAAAAAGAGGCAGAAACATGGAACATTCATTACAAACACAGTCCTAAGTGTATGGAATTGTTCATTGCCTACAGTAAGATTGACAACTTATGCAAGCTTGAGTTTAATGGGGACCTTGGGTTTGAAGTGTCTGAGGGTGAAGATAGGCACATAGTGAATATTGTGGAGAAGAAGTGTAGTTGCAGGTAAATATATTAATTTAGACTATTATTTAATTTTGATTATGTAAAATTCACACGAACTAATTATTGCTTTTCATTTTAGGTCTTGGTAGTTGACTGGCATCCCATGCCCTCATGCCATCAAGGCATTGCGCTACAAAATTATTGAGCCTCAAGATGAAATAAGTTGGTGGTACGCTAAAGAAGCCTATCTTAAAACATACTGGGCCAAGTTGTTGCCTATGAGAGGTGAACAGTTCCGGCAAGTATTGCCAGAACATGCCATGGACCCATCTGATCTTGTGAAAACAGTTGGAAGGCCAAAAGTTAAAAGAGATAGAGAAAAAAATGCAGCAATCAAAAGAGCTGGAGAGTGGTCTCACTCAAGAAAAGGAACTAAGATGACATGTAGCAAGTGTGGTTCACAAGCTCACAATGCAAGGTCTTGCAAGGCAAGGTAACAATTTTTTTATTTAAAAGTTAGTTATATAATGTTCATATGAACTAATTTAATGACTTATTTAAAAATATTTTAGGCTAGTAAGGAAGGCAATATTTCAATTCTTAAGAGGAAGAGGGGCAGAACTGAAGGAGTAGAACAAGATGGAGAAGTCTTTGATGTCAATAGTTCAGCCCCTCAACTATCTCAAGAAGGATTTGAAAGTGACATATCTGCACCAAGACAGAGACATTATGAACCTTTTGGTCCTACTAGAGAACTGAAAGTGATCCTGTTTTAAGGCCTCATATAATTTTTGAAGAGTTAACAAGGCTTAAGATGAGGCAGAACCAACAAACAAGATCTGCTAATAGAGTGATCACTTTCAGAGGTGATCATAGAGGAGTGAGTGAGCCTACAGATTTGCCTTACTCACCCACTAAAGTCACATGGAAAAGAAAAGAAGTTGTGACTAGTAATTAGTTGGAAAGGTGTAACATCCGACAATTTGAAATAGCTTTGAAGAGGCCTAGAATTGGAAATTTTCATTTTTGGAAAGAATTTGAAAATCTGAAATTTTTTGGCTAAGTATGGAAAAAATGTGAAATTTTGGTCAACTTTGAACAGCCATAAATTCTAGCTCAGGATGAGTTAGGTGGAGTTACAGTTATGGTTGCAAAGTTCGTGGAATTATATTTCCAACGCCACCGAGTTTTCTCAATTCCGAGTTCGTATGATCAAGTTATGCCCTTTGGAAGTTGGGTAGTTGGCAGGGAAATCTGTCCGGAAATTTAAGGGCATTTTGGTCTTTTCACTAACCAATTTCCTTTGGTTATATTGTAGTGTGGGACTAATTTTTTGATCATTTTTATTCCATTTCAAAGGAGTGAAAGTAAGGGTTTGAGAGAAGAAGAAGAGAAGAAGAGGAGAATAAGAAGAGAAAGAGGAAGATCAAGCAAGTCTCCGTCGTGGAAATCGTCGGGGGTGATCCCTTTTGAGGTATGTGAGTTCTTAGTGTGGTTGGTGCTTTTCCCCACATGCCAAACTCATTTTTATGATTTGAGAAAGGATTGGATTGGTTGTTGAAGTTGTTGAAGTTGTTGAAATTGTTGAAGTTGTTAGTTGTTGTTGTTGAAATTAGTGTTGGTGTTGTTGTTGATTGTGTTGTTGAGATTCTTGTTGATTTGGGACTTGTTTCCGGTTGTGTTTTTGAGTTGAATCTATGGTATATTGAGGGTGTTAATGATTCTAAGTGATTTGGGGAAGAAACCATTCGATTTTAGGTGAAATAAGGTGAGAAAACGAGAAAATGAGCATGCTGAAATTTCTGGGTTGGGGGCCTGGCGCGACGCGCCTGCCAGAGCGCCCCAAACTCACCTCTGAAGTTTAGGGGCTGGCGCCCCGCGCCACCCATGGCGCCAAGGTCACTTGC